GAAGCCCTACTCTGGCTTTTGCCAGGGGCCGCAATATAGCCTGGCCATAAATATGGCCTAAAGGCTGAACGTGGTTTCTGGGACCTCTCCACGGTGATCCTCACCCACATGGTGGCACATTGTGTCATCGGGTGTTTATCGCTTGTGTGATGTCCTGGTGGGGTAGAAAGTCAGTCAGTCAGTCATTGCATATATACAAATTAAATAATACTGCTCACGCAACCTTGCGCATGTCGTTTGATCTACCATAGTATCTTCCATCAGCCTTTAAAAAATTCATTTAATAATGGTCTTCAGAGCGTCTGCGTTGTCCGATATCAATGTTCCATTTGCTGTTGTATGCAAGAACTAGCAACAACAACAACCCACACACACACACACAAACACACACAAACCCTCGATTAGAATTATGCGAGAAAGACAAAATGTGAAATAATATTATTCCGCTGGCTACGAAGCTAAGGGTTAATAACAGAAAATGGCGACCTTCAAGGCAGGTGTGTTTGCTTGTTTTCGGTTTCTGCAAAACCTTTTCACAATCTAACTTTCAAACATGATTGTTGTGCATTATTTAAAATATTGGATATATTTTTAAAATGCTTTATTTTTCATTCCTTTTGCCAGTGCTAGATATGGATACTTTACTATCTTTCTTTACTTAAGTTAAAGAGTACTTTTATACTTATACTTTATACATACACTTAGTACTGTGTAAACTAAACTGTAACTAACTGTTTGAAGTTGAGTGTAACTTTAATTTGGATTTCACTCACACATTGAACCGGAACGATTGTTTGAAGTTTAAATCAAAACAAGATATTCTATAAAAACGATAAGCTGCGGAACTAGTAGTCAACCTCACAGCCACGAATGACCTCAAGAAAGTTGTCTAAAAAAAAGCCTTTTTATCATCGTCCCTTTGGTTGGTTGGCAAGGGTTACTGACGCTGTCTCTCATACTGACAGTAAAAGGCGGAAAGTTCAGTTCACCCATTCACCATATTTTGATCTGGCAGCTCCTGTACCACTGTACCGCGTTTTTCCAAAAAATTTTAGCGTTAATTTTTCTTTAGAGTAAACAAGGCAGACTTAGTGTCTTAGTGAGGGATCATGCCACATGAGCAACACAGTCTCTCGGCTCTACTTTGAACTTGCCCATAAAATGGCGGCCGTAATATGATGACACATTCTGGCCAAAAAATATCCAAAAATATCAGAACGGTGTTCACGTATATCTAAAATACGGACTTTCTGCCAAGGGACGAATCGCGGCAAAACTAGGATTACTTGACAATCAATATCAACATTGCACACGGTAGTAGCAGACGATAAATACCGACCGTTGACAACAATTTCGAGCGTTACTGCAGACGACGATATTAGCGACCGTTGACCAATTTCGAGACATTACAGACGATGAAAGCCGATTAGCAATACTGTGTTCTTCCGATTGGAGGATTTAGCAGCGGTAGATGTCAGACTTGTCGGCATGCGCCAAACCCGATTAAACTCATCGCCAAGCGTATCCCCCGCGGCGCGGATAGGGGGCTAAACTAGGTGCCTGGGACTCATGAGTAAAGTAATTGGAGGAAGTTGCAGGAGATGTGGTAGCTGCCGCTCATGTCTCCCAGCCATCTAGTTTAGTCCCCAGCGGCGCGGGGGATACGGTCGGCGGTGCGGGCACACTCGCAGAAGCAGGTCCGCAAGTAACATATCGCCGAAACCCTGTTAGAGCATTTGCTTCGTTATGCGGAGCTGGCACATATATTTTTAATAGAACTGAGCCCCATTCTGATATTTTTGGATATTCTATGGCCAGAAATTGGCCAATTTAGCTCTCTTTGGAACAGCATCATATTATGGCCGCCATTTTATGGGGAAGTTCAAAGTAGAGCCAGTCTCTCTCTAACAGTCACAGTGTACAGTACTGCCCAGGCGTTGTGCTAACTAAAAGAGAAACTGTATCCCTGGTCTTGAAATGGCGACGCAAGTGGGTCTTGCTAGTCACACTCGTCATCACCATGGGCTGTAATTCACATTCCTCTCTATAGCAGAATTTTACACCATCATCTAGAAAGATAAGACAGTGTTAAGTTAGTAAGATCAGCATCATCATCTCCTCACTGCACATTAAACTTGTTTCTACCCTCAGTATAAATGTATCCTTCAAGTAGCAGTAGCAACTGGCACCAGTTGTGTGTGAGCTTTGCTTCTTTGGCTACTTGAATAGAGCTGTAGTTCGGCATTACACTTTTCGTCTATCCTCCAAATAACAGTCCTAAATTATCGAATCGGAAAATATACCCTAACAGGGCCTCAGTCACGTGTCAATTGCGCACTTCCGCCACCGCCGAGAGTATCCGCTCACGCGCCTTGGGTTGGGGCTAAACTAGATAGCTGGGGCTCATGAGTAGCAGCTACCGCATCTCCTGCAGCTTCCTTCATTTTATTTGCTTGTGAGTCCTAGCCATCTAGTTTAGCCCCAATCCACACCGCTTGAGCGGCCTTGGGGATACTCATGGCGGTATAGTCCCCGGAAATTTGCAATTCAGCGGTGGAGTTATAGTCACTGGAAGTGCGCACTTGACATGTGACTGAGGCCCTGTTAGGGTATATTTTCCGTCTCGATAATTTAGGACCGTTGTTCGGAGGATAGCCCACTTTTCATTTGCTCTTCTTCCTTCTTGCAGCTGCTGAATTGCAGTCTGGTCAAAGTTACATCTTATGCTAACTTCTTATAATACATTCACCACAAGAGCCCATTTCATTGTTCACCCACCCTCCACTGTAGTTTTGTTCAAAAGCCTATCAGCTTGTTTATTTTCTCTGACACCTGCATACAAGACATACCCTCTTTTCAATTAAGGAAATGTCCTTTTTTGTCCTTTATTCTCCCAGTAGAGCATAGAACCGCAGCCGACCTGTCCATTGTTAGCATCACACACAGATCACCCCTTGTCCTCCCCGTCTTTATAGCATCACTGTCTAATTCTCTTTCCTGTGTGTTTTCTTGGTCTGTCTTTATTTCTTTGACTGTGGGTTCCAATGCAAAGATGATCTAATTATACTGTTCAGGTTTCACAAGCTTCAAATCAAGCTCTTCAAAATTGTTGTGTAACATTTACAATGGTTACTCTCCTCAACAGGGTTACAGATCCTTGGCCTTTCGGTGAGGAGATGCCCAGTGCCGGCCTGTTCTCCAGGATTAGTCTCAAAGTAAGTTGTTGTGTCTGTTAATGTTTAAATCTCTGGTTTTCATCCTAGGGGGCATTATTGATTTTCTAGTGATACATGAGACCCACTGGGTTTGAATATCAGTTACAGTTTCTAACATTTATGTTTTATAATGAAATTGTAGGTTTTGTATAACTTTTTGTAAAATGTGTTCCAGTGTACATATAGAGCTCCGAATCAATAAAAATTCTAACATTTGTGTCTATAAAATAATGAAAAAGTTATAGATTTGATAAAATAAAGCATTGCTTATTAATTTTTAATATTAATTTGTTAAATTTAACATTTGTATGTTTGTGTATGTGTCTGTTTTACTGAATTATAGACTTTATATAAGTTTTGTAATCCTTGTGTTCCATTGGACTTACTGGGTTCAGATGAATTAAAATCCTAAGTCTTTGATCGCATTTGAGGAAGGGAATGGCACATATAGGAATGTCCTCTGTGCATTGATGTCGATCCTTGATTCATTTTTTCAATAATTTCACATCTTTTAAATCAGCTAAAATGTCTTTTATATATGTGTGTATGTAGGTACTCGCGCATACACACAGGTAGCCCCCCCAAAAAGTATACATTGTAATCCCCACCAGCAAAATGTATAAACATTTTCATAGAGGCTACTTGTCCTAATCATTACATGACATATTCTGCAGTATTTAGATCAAATTTACAGTGGCTGTGTGTTGTGTGATGCTGCAGCAGTCACACTGGGCACATTGGATAACCTCAACCGAGCAGCAGTTGTCTGCACTAATAAGTGTCTGGAAGATAGTAGGAATCGCTTTGAGCGCCTATAGTAACTTGATAAATCACATTTACCTTGTATGCGTCTCTTTGTGTCTGAATAAATTCTGTTTCAAAATGTTTATGTAGGTTATTTTCAAAACTGCATGCGGCACATTGCTACCGTAATATATTCAAAGATTTTAAATATCAGATATGTAGATACATTTCCCTGCTGGGTGATTATTATGTTAACATTATTTTGCTACTCTGAATGTAAATGTCTTTGTGTGTGTGGTGGGGGGGGAATTGACGACACTCAGCCAGATTGGACTGCAACTTTTTTCATAAGTGTAGGGTAGCCTACTAAAGCTCTTATGTGGTTAAACAGGGTTTTTTGAGGGTTTGCCCCCGTTTAATTCTCATCCTTCAGATGTTAATACTACAGACTGCAAATCTGGGGGGAAACAGTTCATCAGAAATATATGGACATATGTCATTGCCCTAAAGGAGTTAAAACTAGGTCTTCAAAGAATCCACAACCAACTACTAATGATTATTCTACTTTTCTTTCAGTTCTTCGCGACTTCTTCCTGCAAGTTGCCTGACCATCCTGCAGCCACAGAACATCTGCCGTAGTTCACTTTTGCACACAACAGCCAGCAATGCCAGTTACAGAAACACAATCTTCGAAGACAAGGCTCGGAATAAAATGGGCAATGTCAACGTTATGCCCCCCAATTTTCTGAAGCACAATGAGGTGGTCTACCCTCCGACCAAACCTGGAGAGCCAGAAAGACCTGCTGTGAGTAGAAATCTTAACCCTCTCACCCAAGTCTGCCTAAGTCTAGTCTCTTCTGGTTTTGCAACATCCCCGTAATCGCAGATAAATGGCCGTGCCTACAGTGACATGTTTTGGACAAGTGTAGTTAAATTCTGTTGGTCCAGTGTCTGGTAGTCTTAGTTTCAGCTTCATAGCAAACGGGTCACCCCATCTTTGCTCCGCTCCTGTGCCAACGAAAAACACACAGAATGTTTATCACAGTATTAGAATTGTAGTTTATCATTGATGGTAGCAGAAGTCGCCAACAGATCAGCAGTGTTCCTCTTCTGTGTTTAATAAGGGCAGGATACAAATATAGGAACTAAAATTATAATTTAGACCTGTTTCTTATGACCCCAATAGGTTTTTTTTAAAGCCAAGTTGATGTCCAATTTTCTTGTGAGCCTCAGTGATAAAGGCCATGAGGTCACAGCATGAGTTGACTGATACATTTTCTTATTTTTATGCCCCATGGAACGCATTCCATTTAATGCTTCACTCTCTGTGTATATTGATAATTTTTAAAAAAACATATCTTCATATATAATTAATGAGACAAAATTTGAAAACAAACAATATTTAGTGACCTGTACAATATGATTGATTAATTTTTAAAAGTATTTTCCCCCTGAAATTCTTACAGGTTTGTGACTTTTTATTTTTATTTTTTAGCATTTCCAGTGTGAAAATGAAATGTGTATGTATGAATATATGCATGTGTAGTATGTATGTATATTTAAATACATTACCATGCATGCTTTTTTTTTTCAACTTCATATTCAAATTATGTGTATTATTGAATAAACATACATGCTCTGTAGTTAGAATGCAATTGCTGTGTGACCGATTAGTGTTCGAAAGGCCAAATGTGAGTCTGGCCTTTATGTACGAATGGTGAACATTTGTGGTCATTCATTCATTCGTGATTGTGTCCCAGGGTGACTTATAAGCCCAAGCATGTCATAAGGCAACTAATTAAGGATTTGCTGAGATCTGATGTTTTGGGTCACAAGGTGCAGATACTGCAGCACGATGTAACCCACAACACAGCGTGCTCGAACTGCCCATTAAGGGCAAATGTGGAACAAGTCATCTGATTATCACGATTATGATTTCATTAACACCCTTTATGTGTTTGCTTGTTAATTTTTTCTTTTTTTTTCTGCGTCATTCCCCCAAATCCCCAAGATCATTAGTCCTCAACCAGTTCTTTGCTCATCCTTTTTTGCTATCACAAAAAGGCTCACTTCTAGTCCTCCCCATTTTTTGCTCCGCATTCTCTTCTCCATTTCTTGTGTGGTCTTCCTTTCTTTGACCCTGTAGGTTCTGGTGCACAGACATTCCTATTAGATTGTTATCAAGTTTTCTCATGTGTGTCCTATCCAACGCCAGCCTTTATCCCTCAGCTCTTGATTCACTAGAATTTGTTGCTCTCTCCCAGTCTTACATTTGTGACTATCATACCATTTAATTTTCTCGTTTTGTGCAAGCCAACTACTGGACGTAAATTTGCCTAGAGAAACCACACAACAGCCAGGGGCTGCTGGGGTTGGTTCTGCAACATCCTGTAAAGGATACGTAACTAACCTAACCTGTGCAAGCCATACAAGAGAAACATTTTAGGAAAACTGCTGTACAACAGTGAGAGTTGGGAAAATGGCAGCAGCAATTACACATCAACTAGAGATTTCAAATTAAATGTCTAAGGAGTATCCTGCAAATATTTCATCAAACATCATCATCATGCAAGTGAAGAACTGAGGAGGAAAACAAAATGTTCGTCACTGGCAAACATTATCCCAGGAAGAAGTTGGAGATGGCTTGGACATGTTTGCAGGATGCTTCATGTCACTTTGGCAAGGACAGCTGTCAGGTGGACAGCCGATGAAGAAATAAAGAAAGGTGCTGTGGACGACCTGAGGATGTCTGGACAAGGAAAGTAGAAAGGGAAATAAGGGAATATAAAACTACCTGGGATACCATAGGCAGAAAAACAGCAGACCAGCAGCAATGAGATCACTTATGAATGCTCATATGTCAACAGTGACATGAAAAGGTTAGATAAATAGGTCGATGCATGCACGCACACACACAGACAAGAGAGAGATTGTGTGCATGCACTGGTAATTAATGTTTGTAGTTTATAATATTAAATTGTGTACACACTATAGTTGAATAGTCGTAGACCACGAGGCAGACCAAGAATGCGATGGAGAAATAACATCCAGACAGACCTACAAATACTTAGTATCACAAACTGGAAAGAGAAGACCAACCAGAGAGATGAATGGAGGCGGGTTTTGTCTGAAACAGTGAACCTCAGTGGCTCAGAAAACTGAAAATAAAAAGTTTGTAAAGTTCAAATTACGTATAATATTTTACCAATCAAATCCGCCTGGTTTCGGGGTAACTGTTGATTTTGTCTTGTTCTTTCCACAGGAGGTTTGTCATTCCAGGTTCCAGATCAAGTACAGTATGAAGAAGCTTTGGTTTGTTGCAGTCATGGTAATTGTTTCACATGTATTTGTTTCTGTTATTTTACCATCTTGAGTATTAAGATAAAGAAATTGTGTTGCTTGTAAGTGAAAGATGCTTGTCATGCCAATGGCACATCCGACATACGCTAGACTAATATTTTTATAGGTCAGTTGACTCTCCATGGGCGGTGTGGTCAGCATTTATAGGTCAATTTACCCTCCGTGGGTGGTGTGGTCAGCATTTATAGGTCAACTGACCCTCCATGGGTGGTGTGGTCAGCATTTATAGGTCAGTTGACCCTCCGTGGGTGGTGTGGTCAGCATTTATAGGTCAAATGACCCTCCGTGGGTGGTGTGGTCAGCATTTATAGGTCAGTTGACCCTCCGTGGGTGGTGTGGTCAGCATTTATAGGTCAATTGACCCTCCGTGGGTGGTGTGGTCAGCATTTATATGTCAAATGACCCTCCGTGGGCGATGTGGTCAGCATTTATAGGTCAATTGACCCTCCGTGGGCTGGTGTGGTCAGCATCACACCGGCAGCCTTTGCTTCCCAGGACTTTATCTGATATCTTTTTTTAGGCAGGAACGATCTGGAAGCCCAAGGTGATTTTCATAAAAAAAAAACTGATGTGATGCAGATTTGAACTCCTGAGCTTTGAATCAGCATGTGGGGAATCTAGCCACTACTTCATCGCAACTCCTTGTATTTACTGCTTTTTATGGCATTGGCAACGAGTAATGAAGATGTTCTGAAAGAAACTAACTCACGAAGAGAACTGACTGTCTATATAAGAAAGAAAATGTAAATTCTTTGGTCATATATTGAGAAGGAGAAAACGAGCACAGTTGTGACGGTAGAAGAAGTGAAGGGGAAAAAAGGCTGAGGCAGACCAAAAAAAAGAAAAAGTGGTGGACAGTTGGACATTATGGCATGAAAGATCATTTGTGTCAGAGTTGATTGGAATGTACACGAAACATGACTACCAACTCCACACGGCATGGACTTTAACAAGAAGAAGAGATTAGAGATGTTTCCTCTGAAGTCGTAGTGCATCTGCCTAAGAGGCGAGGAACCAGCATTCTGCATATGAAAAAGCTAGATCTGTAAAACGGATGTGTACGCAGAACTCAAGTTCTGGAACAAGACTAAAGTCCAGAAGTGAAGGGACAGCCAGAACATGCCTTTGGGAGCTGTGCATGCTAAGAAGAAGAAGAAGGCTGCTCTGGGTTTGATCCCATTTGCTTTACTGTTTCTCCACAAAACGGCTGGCCTGCCAAGAGCATAGCTAAAGCTTGAACTCTGTAGCTTCAGCAACAAACTCCAGGTATCTCACTACAACTTGTGAACTGAACAATGCAGTTTGTGAAGTGAACTCAGAACCTTCAGATCGTGATGCAGACAACTTGATCACTTCACCACAGAGATTCCCCGGTGTTGCTTTATGTTTGTTGTTTACATGGTAAAAAAGGTTTACCTGAATTTCGGAAGGTTGTTGTTTTTGTTTTGAGACTGCATTGTTTGCTTCATGGGTGCAGTTAATCGGAAATTACTGGAATTGTTGCTGAAATATTTATTTGCTCATGTCTCTTTGGATTCAGGGGATGTCCATAGATGATACCATATAATGAACATTTGCTAATATCTCCCTAGATTTGAGGTTGGTCTACAGATATAATGAACATTTGCTCAGGCCTCTCCAGATTTTAAGCCTGTCTACAGATAATACCATAAAATAAGTATTCACTCATGCCTCTGCAGATTTGAGGGATTTTATAGATAAATCATATAATGAACATTTGCTCATGTCTCTCCAGAATTGAGGGCTGTCTATAGACGTTATAAACATTTGCTCATGTTTCCAGAACTGAGGCATTCTATAGATATTACCATATAATAAGCATTTGCTCATATCTCTCCAGTTTCAAGAGACAGTACTATATAATGAACATTTGCTCCTGTTTCCCCAGGTTCGGGGGATGTCTATAGATGAGGCAATCAAACAGCTCTCCTTCTACAAAAGAAAGGGGGCTGCTCATGTAAAAGAGGTATTGTGTCTGTTGTGTCCGTCTGTATTTGTTGTGTCTGCGTACACTTTGTAAATGTTGTGTCCGTCTGTAAATGTTGTGTCTGCGTACACTTTGTATATGTTGTGTCTGCATACACTTTGTATATGTTGTGTCTGCATACACTTTGTATATGTTGTGCCTGCATACACTTTGTATATGTTGTGTCTGCATACACTTTGTATATGTTGTGTCTTCATACACTTTGTATATGTTGTGTCTGCATACACTTTGTGTGTGTTGTGTCCATCTGTATGTGTTGTGTCTGCGTACACTTTGTGACTGTTGTGTCCGTCTGTATATGTTGTGTCTATGTACGTTTTGTGTGTGTTGTGTCCGTCTGTATATGTTGTGTCTATGTACACTTTGTGTGTGTTGTGTCTGTCTGTATATGTTGTGTCTGCGTACATTTTGTGTGTGTTGTCACTGTGCATTACCCTGTGTTTAAGTGTGTTATGTCCGTCTGTATATGTTGTGTGTGTGTGCGCGCGCGCTACTGTGTGCATTACCCTGTATGTAAGTGTGTTTATGCATTTTTGTGCCTGTTCTATTGCCTTGCTTCTGTGTATTTTCCCATGTGTATTTTAAATGATGCATTTGCCATCCATGTTTTTGTTTGTATTTTCAAATTTATAATCATACTATGAATTTTGGAATATAAACATTATAATTGATACATAAATATGCAATTGCTGTGTAAAAATAAATTTGATAGGGCTCAATTTGCGACCCTTCAGAAACAAAGTTCCTTAATTTGGGTTAGTCATTCTTTCACATTACTTATATTCATATGCTATGTTATGTTACTTAACCTTTTTTGTCCTAAAAGATCAAAAGAAAAAACCCTGGAGCCCATAACTGCCTAGAAGTTTTTTGTTTGTTTTGCAATAGTTTGAAGTACTGATTAATTCCCTTATGGTTTGTTTTGTGTTCCTTATAGGTTGTTTCCTAATTTGTATATTTCTTATCTGTTTTTTTCCCCATTTCTAGGTTGTTTCCTAATTTATATAAGTTGCTTTCTATTTGTTATAGTTAGTTTTTTCCCCCTACCTATATATAATATAATCTGTTTCCTATTTCTTTTAGTTGTTGTGAGTGTTTTGGTACTTCTGTGATCATTCTTATTCAAGTTGTTTATCTTTGATCATTCTGAGTTTTTAATTATTTATAACACAATGATAGGTTTTTATTTTTGCTATTTTCATTTATATTGACATTTCATGTGACACTTTTTTTAAAGCTTGATCGGCCTGGAAATGAAGGAAAGGCCTTCTCTCATTTTCCTCTGTCTCTCCTAAAAGTACACTAAACTGAAACCATTCAGTCAGCCAGAATAATCTTTTGTCTACAGGTGTTGGAAGAGGCCCAGGAAATGGCTGTGAGGGACCACAATGTTGAATTCAAATCAAATCTCTGGATAGGTAAGTCATTAATCTACATCTAGAGAGGGTCTCTTGTTGAATTTGTGGTGAAACCAGTGGTTTCCAGTCAGCTTAAACCTTTCCACCTCCATTTACGCAGGTCTGTGAAAGACTCTATACCTCTTAATAGTTGTATTTAAGAACTTTATTATAATTTACTAATATCAGAATGACAAAGGAGGATTCCTTGATTCCTTCTAGTTTAAATATCAAACAAACCAAGTATATATAATTTGTGTTCTTAAGTAAATATCACAGGCCCCTTTAATTTGTTTTGCCGACTGCCAAATGGGTATACTGCCAAAGACGCTTGCCTGCCTGTAGAGCAGGTGGAGGGATCTGCAAGGGTGGCAAAAATTCTTTCAGAGGTCCCCGCTAGTTAGTGCCCTTTAGATCTTTCCTCTGGGATATGAACGTGTGTGTGGAAATTAACAGGCAGACAGATTGGCTGACTCTACACGGCTTAGTGATAAATTGTTCATGGCAAGCTAGATGCGGTCAGGGCTTTTTGAGAGCAGCTGAACAATGCAAAAGCACTAATAGGTCATTATGGTCTGGAGAAAATGGTTTGGCTCACAGTGAAAAGGGGATCTGGCTGACACACGTCATTCAAAGGAAAGGCAAGATGGACATCTGCTACTGGCACCAATGGCATTAGAACTACTTGCTGGCTGTTGAAGATGGTGACAGGGCACTTATGGGAAGATCCCAAGTGCTGTGATGTCAGTTATTAATTCAGCATAGAGACGGTACTTTAGTATCAGTTGATGAAGGTCTTCACCAGTCACGTGATGGAAACCTATTTGCAGGGCTAAGACTGGTTGAATGTCTGTGTCTTAGACCCAGGAGTTTAATCTTGCATGCCATTTCTTAACTCTTTCAATCCCAAGGAACCGATCATATGTTCATACCTAGAAGCACAAGATGCACCGATTTTACATTTTCCTTACTACCCCTTGGGCCTCTGGTGCTAAACCTCCTGGCACTCAAAGAGTTAAATTCAAGGATGACACTTTAGCTCAGAGTTATTCAGCTTGAGGCCTATCAAGTGATAATTGCCAGTTGCATTACATCCCTGATCTTTCAATGCTGGTGCTCGGGCCTGTGACGATCCCTAATTTTCAACAATTTGGTCCTGGGTAAACTTAGTTAAATAGCCCTGCTGTGTTTAGAGCTTGACTTCAGGGCTGGCCACTCAAGCTTGTGTTAAAACTTGACTTCGGGGATGGACATTGGTGGCCAAACGTTGAGATCAGCTATAAAAAATTTATATGAACACAATATTGGTTAGATCAACTGCAGAGTGATGGCTGCAGTGTGGTTCCTAAAATAGCAATGGATGCAGCACTGCAAAAACAGTAAGAAATTGAGTTTAAACTTTTTGCCAAAACTGTAGCTTCTGCAGTATGTTAGGCCATGACAGATTCTAGGTCGCTGCAAAATTACTGGCTAGTTACACTCCTGTAGACCACTAAGTGGATTGAAATGAAAAGAATAAAGAGTATTTGTGGTTGATAATAGCCTCCTTCTGTTTCAGCCGACTCCTTTGTGACAAAAGGCATCGTTGTGAAAGGAGTCCGAAAGCATGCCCGTGGCCGAAAGGGCATCATCCACTACCGCTACACAAACTACTATGTGAGACTGAGGGAGGGCAAGCCCCCTGAACACTACTACGCACCGGAGAAGACTGGCAATGAGTTGATGGCTGACTACATCAGAAAACACCGACAGAAGGAGATCTTTTTTGGGTTGTAGCTTTCCACAGAAATGTTTGATTAGTGATTGTTTTGACTGATTTGTTTGAGCGGTCTGTATGACATGACATTCAGAAATGTATGGCCCACACATTCCCCCTGTTTCTGCAAAAGTAAATTAAATTCACTGAAAGAGTAACAACTTCCTTATGTCCTTTACACATCATCATTTTCTGTGTTACTGCTATCCACTTCTAAAAACCAAAATCAAACAAGGATATGCATGCCTTGTCTGTATCATGTTCATGTAACCATTTCTTTATAGCACCCCTTAGGTGTGTGTCTCAGCTTTCTGAAGCCTTGACTCTCTGAACCTAACAACCAACATTACTCCTATCAACTGCACAACTTCCATACGCAGCACACAAACATTTTTGAATGTTTACCAGTTTTGTTCCCTCAGCAATCATAAATTCTGTAAACATGCACTGTTTTAATGCATATTTAATGGATTAGCAGTTGTTCTTTTTTGTTGGCAAGCAGTGCCATTTTGTGTATGCGCTTCAAATTTTATGTGTACAAAATTTCATGTTTCTGTTGGAGGGAAACTATCATATATATTATATATATGAAGCACACACTCACAGAGCAATAGAAGGTTTGCATGATCAAATTTGGATTAATGCTTTGAAAATAAATGTTTCTGATAGTAGTACTCATGTTGTTAAGTCATTGATTATTTGAAGAGAGAAAAGTTTAAAAACTAGGGCTGTACCGAATAGTGATTTTCACTATTCGGCCGAATACAAATAGTAGGACTAACTATTCGGCCGAAAACAAATACGAATAGTGTATCATCATCATCAGGTGCCTTGTCGACTGGCGTGAGCGATCATGCCTCTCTACAATCTGCTACCTCCTGCAGCATGTATCAGTTCGTGTGCTGACACACATCCATGCCATGCAACAAGACTGTCAAGAATCTTCTCTCGTTGTCTTCCTCTATTCCTCCTTCCACAGATCTTTTCAGTGGTCACCACATGTTCCATTTTCCCCTCTTCTCATAACATGGCTGAAAAATGACGACTGTCTCCTTCTGATGTCTGTGATTAGTTGTCTTCGGGCTCCCGCCTCTTTCAAAACCATCGTTTGCTCGACCGTTCGTTCGATGTAATTTAAACGCACCTTCATATTCTCATTAGCAATATCTTCAAATTTGATTTGGGCGAAGACACCCTGAAAGAACAAAAAAATGCATGACCTCTCCCCCTCTCTCTCTCTCTCTCTCTCTCACACACAAACACACACTGCGGTTTGCATTTTATGCAGTTTGTAACATGCAACCGGGTCGCAGTTTCCCCCGCTACGACAGACTTAGGCAACAGCAACTATTGTGTTAATGAGAGAGTTCTTTCAGTCCATCACAGTGTATGCAGAAACGGGAGTAAGGTAACCACTATTCGTATTTGGCCCGACCGCAACTATTCGGCCGAATACCGAATAGTTATTAGGTCCACTATTCGGCCCTGAAGCGAATATTTGGTACAGCCCTATTCAAAACAGGTAATTGGGTGAACTGCACTTGTCAACAAAGGATCAGATGATTTTACAATTTGTAAACTGGAATTTTAAAAACTAAAAATCCGCCATCTTGACTTCCAAGGACATGTCTCTGTAACCATTTGGTGATAACCCTGGTCATTTACCAAAAAAATCGGACACATTTCTTATTCACACCTAAGACCGTTGAATTAACAGGTAAGCTTCTAGCAACTGCACCACCCATGGGAGAAGGGATGGATAAATAAAATAACCAAATGTCACTGATTTATTATCACAACAAACGAAACAACAGTTACATCATCATAACAAAATCAGTATAGAATTAAATACACTGTAAAGTCACAGACATAGTACACCATAAGATTCCAGGCAGCTCCTATTCCAAGCACCAAAATGGTGAAATGAGAACAATAACCTTCTTGCCTCGAGAAGACAATGTAGTCACTTCCAGTTGTCTGACAGCCCCCGTCAATGTCATTGGCCATCTGCAGTGACAAGTTCTCTAAAAGCGTTAAATTTCATTCGTGTTATGTCCCTCAATGCAGATTTATATCTGAGACTATTTTTTTTAAAGTAGTTCTAAGACTTGGGCTAGCCTCTCAATAAGGCACCACAGAAGTTGAATGGATAAAGGGCACTGGTCACAACACATCAAATACAATCATGTGATATTAGAACCCTATCATCATAATGTACCTAGCCAAAAAGCATAGGCTGTCATGTCATGTCTCTCCCCCCCCCCTCTCTCCCCCCCCCCCCCTCCCCCACCTTTCTTTTTTCAGGATTGCAGTCTGTAGGAATGATATCTCTTGCATCTCACAAGATTGCCAGAATCAAAGTTTATGCCAGGATTCGTCTCAGCCCATCCATGTGGAAAAGCCATCTATGTATTTTTTTCACTGCCTCTCTCTTGATTTTTTCATCAATGTTGCTAGTGGTTACTAAGTTCTAGAGCCTGTTCCTTCTCAAGGCATGTCTGAAAAAACACGTGGCTGTCTACATCTAATTTTTGAATCAGTTTAGTTAAAATTTTTCTTGCCTTAGTTCACCGTTGATAGAGGATAACCCTGTGTGGATTCTCAGGCCCAATTGGGGGAGGGGGGGTGTATCCACTGTCCCCTTACAAGCATGTTGTGAGATTTGGTGTCTCCTTCAAAGTCAAGAGTGCATCTGCCTATGAGGCAAGGAACTGACACTCAGTATGGATGAATGAGAATTTCTACCAGAATTTACAGCCAGTGAACACAAAGAAGAAGAGGATAGAGGCTACCCCCACTACCCTTCATCATTCCATTGGCTGTTATGCCTGCCTTCATCTGCTCAAAATTCAGGCACAATGGATGGTGAAAAGTTGAAGCAAAGTATACCAGGGCTATTCAACTGGCAATGGCCAAATGTGGCCTACCGATCACTGCCAGTTGTTTTGTATTAATGATCTTTCTGTGCTCAGGCCTGGGACGATCCCCATTTTCAAAACTGTGACCCCTGAGCAAACATAGTTGAACAGCCCTGCAGTATACAATGTGACAAAGACATTAGGACTGCAGTCAGTAGAATTAACAAGGATGAGAATCAAACAGGTACGATTCCCAGAAAAACTCCTTTCTTCAACCATTGACTATTTACTGCTGCACCACAAGCTGGTAGTCCAGTTTGGGTAGGTCTTGCTTTCATTTACAGTCACAGGAAACTAGCATTTAGTAGGCAAAGACAAGGAAGAGAATGCAAGAAGATTCTTTGACAGTCTTTTGTCATGGCGTAAAAGGGTGTCAGCATATGAAATGATACATGCTGCTGAGGATCACAGATAGGCATGAAAGCCTATGCCAATCGGCAAGGCACTCGATGATGGTTGTGTCTGCATATTTAAATTCCCTACAATAAAACACTGTCGACTCCTACCACTGAAATGTCAAATATATTACACCGAAATACCTCTACTAAATACAATACACACCTCTCTCGTTCCTTTGAAGACGGAGTGCGTCTGCCGGAGAGGCAAGGAACCAACAGTCTGTATTCAAGAGAATGAGATCTGTAAAACTGATGCACACGCAACACTCAGGTTCTGGAGCAGGACTGCAGTTCAGTAGTGGACGAGCAACCAGAACTTTCAGCCAGAGTGTACAGCTGGTGAACGCGAAGAAGAAGAAGAAGAATACACACCTCTGAAATAATGAAAACACCCCTGCCTAATACATGATAGACGTTTGAAATGCCCCTGTCTGCCTAATACATTAAATGCTGAAACATCTGGGTCCAATACATTACATATTGCTAAAATACTTTAAACAAATACTGATTTTAGAATTTACTTCTTAGCACAGAATGTTCAGTTTTCCACAGCAAATGCCTTGAGGTTTGGGCACTGACAGTTCCCAGTGTCACAGCAGTTGTCTGTATGCTGTACTGTTCCCCTCAATAGTCCCTTCTTGTTGTATCATACCTGGTACCAACTTAAGGCTGGGAAACATGGTCATTTTTGAAAACCCGAACCCATGACCCTCAGATCTGCAGGCAAGCGTCTAGCTGCTAAACCAAGGCTTCAAGGATTTTATTTCCAACTTTACATTTCACACTTTGGTTGCAATAGTTAAACAGAGCTTTCCAACACTGAGTGTCCTGACACACTAGTGTGAAAATTTTGCCCAAAGGTAAACTGTTAAAGAGACTAATCAACATTCAAATAAAGTTAAGTTAGTTGCGTATCCTTTACAGGACGTTGCAAAACCAATCCTAACAGCCCCTGGCTGTTGTGTGGTTTCTCTAGGCAAGTTACATCCAGTAGTTTAACATTCAAATACAGGTTCAAATATTTCAATTTGTTTTTTTTTTTTATTCATACATGATAACTGTCACTAGTGCCTGTAGTTACCATATTTGTGGTGTAGGCCACAAAATAATGTCTCTGAGCCTGAGAGTTTTTGGCTACATGGCTAGTGTTTTCGTCACGGAACTGTGTGGGTTAGGATTTTTTTTCTGCTCCTGACAGCCTTACTGAGGATTCGAAACTTGGGTCTTCCATAAACTATAACGGTAAAATGAAATGGTTTTAACATAAATGAAAGTTTTTTATGAGATAAGTTGTATTTGAAACATTTAATTTTTACAACACAATACATTTTTGCCCAGACACTCAAAATATCATCTCACCAAAGATGGATGCCCTGTTTTCTGCATGGAGCCCAGCATTATCATCACTTCCTCAAATAACTCGAAACAACAAAACGAAAAAGTCTACAACAGAAGCAAAAACAAATTACCTCTATTTGAACATGACTGTAGAATGCTAACGGGAAATGAGATAACCTAACAGAAAACACATAAGACGTGTATTTCTATACATTCGAAAACTCATAAATTGACAGAAGAATGTGGGTAAACACAAGACCACATGTACAGGCTGCATTATGTGTAAAACTGTAAGGCAGGGTTCCTCATTCTGGTTCAAGGTTCCTAGGGGGGAGGGGTGGAATCAGACATCACAGCCTAGCTGTA